GAATGCAGAAATGTTTAAGAAGTGGTTGACAGAGAAATTACTACCGAATTTAGAAGAGCCATCTGTGATTGTCATGGACAATGCTTCTTATCACTCCACACAGGTAATATATTTCACATACACATATTAAACACAGATAGAAAAGTTTATTTGACTCAAAAAAAAATCTGAAGCAAAGAACACCATTTTCAACAAATTTCGTTTCTTAAGGTCGAGAAAAAATATTCTTGAGCCTAAAAATTTGTGTTAAGCCAACAATTTTTTTTCTTGACTCAAGAAAATCATTTTCTTCAAAATGTTGACTCTTGGTTCACGTTTTCTTCTCTTGAATCAAGTTAAATTTTTTATCAGTGTAATCATTTATTTTTCTGAAAGTTTAGGCTTCGGAAATCCCTAAGTATTGATACGGTGCTTTAATACTGAACAGATGCTAAAATCAACGTGATCTCAATCACAATGGATTTATATGTTCACTATGATATGCAGTATAACTTTGCAATTGAATGTAATTTTGCAATATCCATCAAAAATTGTCTATGGAATGGTGAGAATAATGTAATATTTACAGTTTGTATTTTTGTTTATTCATTGGGAATGTTGATGCACGAGGAAATCCTTTTTTCATACACACTCATCATTGTATTCTGGACTTTTAAAGTTGTTGGGTTCAGCAATTCATGTTATCAAAATTATGAGAATTTTTTTCAAAATTTCAGATCAATCAACCACACCATTTCTGAGTAATTTATTTTTGATATTGCTTCTTTCATACGTAAAAATATAGAGTGCCGTTTAAGTTATTATGAAATCTAGTTGCATCACTCATGTGGGAACATTCCATGCTAACTTCATCGGCTCTCCATATTTTTACATGTACCAAAAGTAATTTCAAAAATTAATTACTCAGGAATGGTGCAGCGAATCGATCTGAAACTTTCGTGGTGAGCTATTGATATATTTATCTTATGATGAAAAAATTTTTAGAATTTTGGTAACATAAATCGCGTGACTCAACTACTTTATGTTGACATCTTTCATATTTTTGTGTTTTTGAACACTTCAATACAAAAATCATCAATATTTTTTATTAAACCTTACGGAATTATTATAACGGTTATCATTTAACAACTAATTAACTAATTAATAACAACTTTGTTCGTTACTTTTCTTACACGAGTGTAAAGTGTACTGAATTATTGTCTTTATTTTGTTTATTGTTTGTTTTCTTGTTTGAAGCTTATGCAAATATTAAAGTTATTAACTGAGTTTGCTTTTTTAGTCGGAAAAACAACCAACAAGCAAGAGGAACAAAAAACAGCTCACTGATTGGTTGACGGAAAATAATGTTCCTCATGATCCTTCATCATCAAATGTTGATCTATATGCACTGTGTAAGAGTTTTAAAAAACAAGTAAGCCATAAAATTAATACTTTGATTCAAGAAAGTGGACATGAGGTTCTGAAAACACCTCCATATTGCTATTTTTATAACCCAATAGAGTTAGTTTGGGGCCAGTGTAAACGATATTACGATGCGCATTTTGCACCTGAATGCGATTACAGTGAGAAAAAAGCAATAGAAGTGTGGGAAGAAGCTTTATCCCAAGTGACACCTGAGCGGTGGAATCGGTGCGTCGATCATACAGAGAGGAAAGTGCGTGAAGACTATAAGCGCTTCATTGATGAAAAGTTCTGTATAGAAATTGGAGACAATCCTGGTAAGGCCAACAACAGTGACAGTGATTATGATGATGATGATGATGATGATTTCCTCACTGTTAGCGATGCATCTGAGATTGGTATGGATGTTTGCAGTGATAAAAGTCATTTAGATGGTGCCCGAAAAAATCTTTTGAATGTCATCGAAGAAAAACAGGTAATGAAGTTTCTTTAATATTTATTTCTAAAAAATTGGTACAGTAGTTGACTCTAGACAGTAAAAAATATTGTGTAAAATCAACACAATTTGTGTGTTAAAAACGGTTGACACAAAATATGTGTTGAAATTTCAACACCAATTTTGTGTAGTCCATTTTTAACACAAAGATTATGTTGAAATATCGCCACAAGAGGGCGCAAAGAATCATACACTTCTAAAGTGTCAATCTTAACACAAACTAAATGTTAAATAGATTTATTTATTTTCATCAACTGTTTGATGCCTATAACATAACCTATAAAATAATTTTTTTTTATTTCCTCAACTGCAGTAAATTATATTTATTTAAAAATGTTTTTTTTTATCATTTACATTTTAACGAAACATCAACAATTACCGACTATAAATAATTCGAGGGAAGAAAGTATGAAAAATTTTTAATAATTAAATAAAAAAATAATTTATAGGTTTTAAAAGTGAAGCAGCAGAGTTATAAATTTAATTGTATTTATTATTTAATATTTATTATATTTTCGTGAAAATGGTTGCTGCGTAAAGTGAAGAATCGACGGGCTGTCAACACAGAGTTGATGTTATATTAATGGAGAATTTGACACAAACTTTGTGTTCATTCCCCAGTAACATACAAAATATGTTAATAAAGAGTATATAACACATGTTTTATGTTACAAAATAAAGCGACACAAGCTTAGTGTTATTTTAACACACTACAATTAATACAAACCGTTTTCGACACAAATACACAATATTTTTTACTGTGTACATGCCATTTTTGAAATTTTTTGAGCTCTTCTAACTCCACGATAGGATTGTTATACGCTTTTGAGCTCTTTGTGCAAAAAAATCTTGTTTGTATTTATTTAATTTAGTACGGTATAGAGAGCGAGAGAGAGAGAGCTTTTTGATATTTTCAGGAGAAAATTTTATCTGATGACAAATTGAAAAATTATTTTAAGAAAATCAACAACCTCAAGAATTATTTGACCGATTTTTAGGAAATTATACTTAGAATCGAAGCCGTACTTCTGACTGTAACCGTTTGCTACTGGTCGTGCCTTATATTTCACATTTTCACCGTTATCGTCATATTTGATGATGATGATGAGAATAAGATTACAATGCGTGCATTTTTGGATTGTCCAAACTTTTTAATTTTTACAGTCGTTATAGGCTCTAGAATTTTTTGTGTAAGACATGGAGTTCATCCAATAGAATTTTTGTCGTTCGGTGTAATCCAATCATTGACTACTGGTATATCGCTGGAGCCATCGTATGCATCCTCATTAAATCTCGCGTTTCGAGCTATCATCAATCTTGGCGTACTTGTTATCCAAACACCATATCCTTTACATTATCTTGAAAAACTAAAGTTTGTTTCATATACATGATCAGATTCCATAGTAGTGTAGGCTCCATCATCACTGTTGGATAAATTCTTGAATTTTCCTTGAGCTTTGGTTACTTTTTCGATCAAGGATTGGCTTTATTTGCCTTCTTCTTATATACATAATACCTCGGAACCCACCCCGCTTTTGGTTGTTTTTGGTGGGCAGCTACTGCATCGATATGACGGTTACTTTCTTCCTGCGTAAGCTCACTATGTTCAAGAATTTTCACCTTTAGCTCTTCCGGAGACAGTATCACATCACGCGTCTTCATTACCGTACTAAACCCTTGAAAAAAGGGAGGAAGACTGTTCAATAGTGTCATGAATACAGAGCGTAAAAAGAGAGTGATGGGCGTTGGAACTTGAGTAATAGAAATCTTGAATATCCGAACGTGGTTACTTTGTCCATTGAAGAGCTACGTTAAAAATTGCGTTGTAGTGTACAGTGATCATAAGCCGGGACATAATATCTAGTGTTACGTAAGAAAGAGTAAGTTCGATCAATCCTTGCTGACTTTGGTCACCAGTAAGCTTTTCTTTAGTTCATATTTTGGTTACAACCTCGGAAAAATATATGGAGCTCAAACTGGGAATCGAACCCAGATCTTCATGATTCCGCGTTAGATACTCTACAATTTAAGCTATCTTAACCCTCCCTCATATATCTAACTCAAGTATACTCTTAACTCTTATTGAAGCTGTAACTATGGACTACTGATTTTAGAAAATCATGTTTGACGCTTAATCTGGAAGTCTTCTTTTTTAGGCGCGGAACTAACTAGCAGTATCTCGGTCGAAATCGAATTGCCTGAAACTGATTTTGGGCCCATTTATACAGGGTTAGAAGACCGCGCTTGTACACGGAAAAAAATCTAGGTGCTGCAACATAATACATTCCTGTGATAGCAACATCAAAAAATTATGTGGCAGCCATATGATTTTCAAGTTGTAGCTACAGGAAATTTCAGAAGTGCACGCCTCATAATGTCATTTTTCACAGTATAATTGATTACAATGAAATATGATCTTGGAAAGGATTTAGTTTCGGATAATACTGAAGCGTATAAAAAAATGGATTGTATTGTTTTAATAATATAGGGCATTTACGTTAGCCGCAACAACCAGACTAAAGAGGCCACGTCAGCTCTGTTTTAAAATTATTTAATTATATTTATAAATATATTAAGATGATCCTGTTAATGTTTATTTAGAGGATATTATGGTAGAGTGGATTTAATTCCACTATCATTTATTTCCACTTTTAACAATTCTTTATATAATAAAGAATAGTTTCCATATTAAGATGATCCTCTCCACAATCCTTTCTCAATCCTTTCCTACCAAAATATCCTGTTACGTGAATGTTGGAACGCTTCACGTAATAATTATCCGTAACTCCTATTCTTTCCCGCTTCACAGCATTATTTATATTTGTTAAAAATGCTAGCCGTAAGATGGACGGTGTGGCTTAATGTATATAGAATAAGTGAAGGGAAATTTAGTATAGACCGGATAGCTCAAATGGTAGAGTAGCCGACATGTCTTCGGAAGGTTCTGGGTTCGAATCCCAGTCCAAGCTATCTAATAATTTTTTCTCGCATATTCTATACACTCACATTAAGATGATTCTCTCCACAATCCTAAATTTATAAAAATAATAAAACTAGACTCCTATTCTTTCCCGCTTCACAGCATTATTTATATTTGTTAAAAATGCTAGCCGTAAGATGGACGGTGTGGCTTAATGTATATAGAATAAGTGAAGGGAAATTTAGTATAGACCGGATAGCTCAAATGGTAGAGTAGCCGACATGTCTTCGGAAGGTTCTGGGTTCGAATCCCAGTCCAAGCTATCTAATAATTTTTTCTCGCATATTCTATACACTCACATTAAGATGATTCTCTCCACAATCCTTTCTCAATCCTTTCGTACCAAAAATCCTGTTACGTGAATGTTGGAACGCTTCACGTAATAATTATCCGTAACTCCTATTCTTTCCCGCTTCACAGCATTATTTATATTTGTTAATATTTATAACAAATATAAATAATACTGTGAAGCGGGAAAGAATAGGAGTTACGGATAATTATAATTCATTTTGCACTTCAGGCATGAAATATTCATGCATAAACAGATATTGTTAAGTCTACTTTCAGGCCTCATCATACGTTTGCAGGTCTTATTATATAAAATATCACGGTTGATCATTTTTTGTTCTGGTTTTTAATCACAATACATAATTTTTTCTATAATTTTCTCTCGATGTAAAAAATAAAATACCTTGTTTGTAGGCTGTTGACAGTGACGATGATGACATGAAAAATATCGACTCTTCTAATGTTGGGATTATTAATGATTCTGACCGAGGTATGCTCGATGCCGATTTTGGTAGTTCACGAGATCAAGAAATATTTAACTTCGAAGAATTAAATAATTTAGAAATGCCATTGATTTTCGATGAATTGCCCAATGAAATATCCTTACAAGAGGAAGTCATTGCATGTTACGAAGAATTGGCAGATGTGATCGAGGATAATGACATTAGTCTTAGTGAAGAAAGAGTTGAAAACGGAAATGCTTCACCGGAAGCAATAATGGACAATCCATCGAATCAACTCATCCAAGCTCAATTAGAAGCCGCATTAAAATCAATTCATACTTTTGCAGAGTCTTCTGTCAAGAGTCATATTATAGAGGAAAAAAAAAAAGTTTTTGAGAATTTTTTTTCAAAATTTTCTAACTATGAACGTGAAGATGAGGATAAAACTGACGATAAAATGATAACAATCGATTCGTTATTGGAATTGTACAAGGTAAATAAAACCGGTTCACAAAAAGAAATTGATCTGTACCTTTGTCTAGACCCACCTAGGGTTGTTCGTTCCGATTTCCGATGCATTGAACCTAAATTTTAGGGCCGTTCGGTACGTGAAGCGTCAAAATTTTTAGTAAATTACAAAAAGCCACCAAAAATGGCTGCAAATCGTGAAAATTGTAGTTATAACGAATATATTTCTTGTGTATTGGCATTACTTGAATTCAAATCTCAAGTTAATTTGGCTTGTAGATCCTCCGAAATTGGAGTAACTTGTAAAAAATGGTGAAATTTTCAAAAAATAGTAATTATGCGATTAAAAAAATTCGAAAAACGGTTGACCCTAAAAGGCCATTCTTGCAACTTCCCGCCAATTTTATACTTATACGTTCAAAATTGCACTTTTTACGATGTTTAGCTCTTCGAGGTCAAAAATATACTTTTTGTGTGATTTTGATCTCTCCGAGCTCATTCGGGGAAGCTTCCTAGGACCTCAAAACGTCGAGATCTGATGAAAACTCGATTTTCGAAAAACGGGGTAAGACCAATAACTTCCCGATATTTGAAAATTTTCAATCTTCTCAACGAAAAGTTAAAAAATTTTGTAAACCAAAATGTATAACATTGATTTATAAATTCTTTCGGCTTAACTTTTGGTGTGAAAAAATAATTTTTTTTAAGACATGTACTTTTCGTTGATTGAATTTAAAATTAGATGATTAATGACAACTATTATTTTTTATCTACAACCACAAAATTTGGACGCTGTACCGAACGACGGACCTCCCATTCGGTTTTAACGCATCGAAATACACAACCTTAAATAGATCTGGTTAAAGGTACAGAGCACGTTTTTTGTAAACCGGTGTAATTGTTATAATAAGACCGAAAAGTGTTCCAGACCTATAAATAAGTTTTTTAAAATTTTATTGCCTCGTTGATTTGCAAAAATCTAAATTCAATTAATTTTTTCCTCTCCGGGCGTAAAGCGTTAACTTTAGCCCCGCTGCGCTAAACGAAGTTGCTGCTTTCTGCCTTCGTCGGGGAAAAATAATATACACTACTCGGGAAGTAAATAAGAAAGCCTTAGATCACATGTTTGTTTACATTACCTTAGATCACGGATATCGGAGTCTTCGAATCTCTAACGTCAAAAAATTTTCTTTTCAGTAATTCTATTTTTTTCCCTCTGGGCGTAAAACGACAACTTTCCGCCTTCCTCGGGGAAAAAAATAGTATACACTCCTCGGGAAGTAAATAAAAAAGCCTCAGATCACATTTCTTACTTTACTTCCCTGGGGGTGTAATATACTATTTATTTATTTTTTTTTCTGTTATTTAATTAATTAAAAATTTTTTACACAAAACGTGTACGTGATTAATCATTAAAAAAGACTTTGATTATAATAATCTGCGCGCGTTCTGCTTCAATGTTTTGTCCTTGTTTCTAAATTGTACTAGATAGATTAATTATTATTATTATTATGAATGACTAGAATGACTATTTAATTAAAATGACTATTAGAATAAATAAAAATATCTAAGGAAGAAAAAAGAGCAGAACGCCAAAGAGGACAATACGGAATTCTTAATTTCTTACTAAAAAAAATTGTCAGGTACTCGTTTGTGAAAAAGAAAGAGTAAATGGACTTGTTTCATTGCGAGAATGACAGCCGTAAGAATGATTTAATTATTATAAGGGCCAGTTTTTCAATCCACGATAAAATTTTATCCAGGATAAAATTGTTATTGCCAGTATATTTATATATATGAAATATATAGATATATTTTATCATTGGATAAAATTTTATCCTGGATTGAAAAACTGGCCCTTAATGTATAATTTATAAACAGTTAAGGACAATGGTACGTTTATTTAATTTCATCATTTGTTTCTGTTAAATTTTCTTATGCACTATTTTAAAAACACGCGAGACCAGTGATGCCAGTAATTGCAGTTTCAATCGTTTAGCGAAACGAATGGAAATATTTAAAAAACGTTTTTAGAGATAATAGATAATTTAATAAACTATTTCACCACAAAGCGTTTTTTTCAAAAATTTCATTCGTTTCGTGAAACTAATCGAAACTGCAATTGATCTGCTGTTGGGAGTGCGACAGAGAGTTTCGTTGAACTCCGTGAGAGCAAAGAGAGAAAATAATGATCTCGTCTGTTATTTAAATAACAATTATATAAAACGTAGCGTAACGTATGTTTATCACGTAGTCTTAGCTTTTGGGTCACACAAACAATTTAGATACGTCACTCCGACCAACAGTAAGTAAATTATTCATAATATCAAAGCATATTCAATTTATAACAATAATATAATTAGTATTATACGTTTAGATACCATTACTTCGATCTTCGTGTGTGTCGAGCAGTTATTTTTATTTTGTTGTTTGTTAAGTAACATTCTCGGGTGACAGCTTTTTATTTATTTATTTATTTCTTTATTTAGTTTTTTTTTATTTTTTAATTACATAATTTTTATTTCTAAGCAGACGTTCAATTAATTGATGTAGTAGCAATTTCGGTTCGATGATGTGAATTGCAATGTATGCGGCACTAAAACTGCATGCCGAACGTCTTAAGCATTGTTTTTTGTTAATTATTTTTTTTTTTTCATTAAGTTAAAACGTATACGTTTTATAAATTATTCATACATTAATTTTTTGAATTATTATGATGGAATCGTTGGGTAGAGTAGGTGAGATAGATAAAAATATTTTTATTAATTAACGTTAATTAAGAGATCAATAATACGAAATTCTTTTTATATCATACAACCAAATTACAAATGTTTAATATTATTAAAATGAAAAATTCATTATATTTTTCAAAATAAAAGAATTAATACAGTTAATCCTACTTTTTTTTGATAATTATTCTTATTAATTAATTTCTCAACTAAATTAGATTTTTCAATTGATTATAAAAATATCACTCGTAAAAATATAAAAAAAAAATTTTGTAAAGTTAACTTCAATTTACTAAACGAATTTGTTTTCTTAATTAATAAAAAAAGTAGATACAAATTTTCAACTTCATCATACATTTCTTATTTAAGAAAAATATTACTGTTACCCTACTGGGTCTATTTCCAATATAGAAAAAATAATAAACATTTTTGAAATTAAAATGATCAACAATAGAGAATTTTTTTTTTCCAAATAATCCACAGCAGTCACCTGATAATCTGTCATAACAAAAAGCCATTTCTCCATTTCATAATTAATATACAATGAAAATTAAAAAAATAATAATATAAAAAATAGTAATGTACGATTGTGAGACTGGATGAAACAAAGAATGCGAGAGCTTGTACTTACCCGAGAAAAAATGTTTCTATATAATCATATATAATTGTATATAATCATATATGATTATATATAACTATATATAATTATATATAATCTTGCTTGGCTGTATATTGCTCCTATGAAGTTATAAATAGTAGAAAAATGATGTGTCATAAAGAAGTTTTACTTCTTACCTGTGTACTCTGATACACATACATATTTTTTTTTTACCATCATTGTCCATTATTTTTTTTGTAAATCTCGAAAAAAATTTTTTTAGATAGAAATTTTTTTTTTTGGTTTTATTATTTATTATTTAACATAGAATGATTTTTATTTTAATTTAAAATTCTATTTCAAAAAAATTTCTTTGCCATTGTCCGATTTTTTTCCGGACAAGTTCATTATATTTTTACACGACTAAAGAAAAGTCAAAAATATTAATTTGCTGAAGAGTTAAAGCCAATTGTTTTTGTATGGAATTGCATGTTTTCTCCTTTTTTACGCTTTAATAGTTTAAAAATCATTTAAGTAACTCAAGCGAATTACTTTGTTTTATCAGCTTTTAGATTATCATTTTTTTTAATTTTGCAAGAAAATACATAGATAAATATTATGTTTGCATATATTACTTGCTAACTCAATTATGAATTTGTTTTTAGATTTAAATATATTTAATTGAAATGGATTTATATTGTCTTTTAACTGATTTAAATCAGTCAAAGTATTGCATTGTTCCAACCCAGAATGTTTTTGAACTTAATGAGAAGAATAATTTGAAAAGGATTCGATCAGACACATATCAGGCCGACAAAAAATATTATGTCACAGGCGCAAGTTTACAAATTGGCATTGGAGGTTTTTACATCATTGATTCACATGGTAACTCTTCAATTAATTTTCATCATTATACTAGAATTTGATCAATCAAAATAAAATTACAACCTTACTAACATAACAGATGTTCATTAAACTAATTAATTTAATTATGATTAACAGATGATTACAAAGTTTTGAGAAAAAGGAACCCAGTGGATTCGCGCATAATCCTAGCAAAATTACCAGATTATAGTCCATTAGCTGAGTCACAAGTATCAAAGAAGGCAGGTACCTCGAAAATCGTAAGTTGAAAAAACTCTTATTCTAATTTTTAAATCCTAACTGATTTCAGCTCTAAAAACATTTTCAAGTTTTTATTTTGCTATTTTTAAAGCTTTATGAAAATGACATTACGATTATTATATTTAAAGCTGATTCATTTAGTAAAATTCGTATTTATATTGTATTCTTGTCGATAATTGAATGTATCGATAAGTTATATAATTACAAAATTAAAAAAAATTGTCTTTGTGATATTTAAAAAATTGCAACGAAGCAGTTATTGACAAAACTATAAAAGCTTAAAATAACTTAAAATTTTCGGCAATCTACAATAATTTCAGGAAATTAAAAAAAAATTTGTGGTTTTTCGGTCCACCCTGAGTATCTATAACTACTTAAAGTGGAATGAAATGAAAATAACAGCAATACCTAGGTTTACTTTTGATTATATCTGTTATTATTTTTCCAGTCTAATAGTGAACAGGTCGTAAAAAATCCTGACGTTCCTCGCAAATCAACGAAAAAAGTAAGTTTCTACAAAAAATTAATCATTTTAATGTTATTAATAAGTTTAATGTGTATTTTGAATCTCAAATGACAATTTTCTAGACTTCCCAAATTTTGTTTTTTAAAGATATTTAATTGTGTAATGTCTTCCTTCTTTTCTAATTTTCTTTTTAAATGAGAAGCTTGAAGAATTTATGTACTTCATAGCCTTAGTAACTTTTTCGCTTTCAAATAGACTTCATATATTGTATGAAAAAGTAGGTAATTTTAATTCAAGAGCTTGAAATACAACGGAAATAAAGTTATGGTGTTTTTATCGCAGTTTCGACTTAAAAATATATGTATATTGTCAATTCTAAAGTTTAATTTTCGAAAACTTATAAATTCCAAATTCGTAATCTGAATAGCAACTATAATTTTTTAAATAATTTATTATGTATTGAAACCATTGTAACAATACTTTTCCCCAAAATTTAACCGAAATTTCACCGGAGGCGGAGATACCGGCTGGGTAGAGTATTTACGCTCGCCCTTTTTAAATATGTAATAAAAATAATAAAGTAACCCGGAAACTCCTCAGGCTGGGTTAGTGCACGATAGGACGCCAGGTAATTTTATCTAAAAATTACCAAAATAATTCAAAATTCCAGGGGCTGCCCCGGACGATCAATTAACAATTTAAATTTAAATGTGAATGGAAAAGTAAACCACAAAATAATCAAAGTTGAGATTAAGACTGAATTTACATTTAGAAATAATAACTAATTAATCGTAAATTAGTATTTTATATTAACTAGCTGAAGTAGGAAGATGAGTTGCAGGAGAAGAATTTAGGAATTAATTTACATAAAATAATTCATTAATGAACCAGCAAATATAAAAAATAAACAAACAATTTATTCAAAATGAAGTTGCTTAAAACTAAATCTATTTTATAAATGATAAATTAAATCCTTTATGGAATTTTTGATTAATATATATATAACTTTTTCTTCAACTTATTTACAATATTGCGTTCGAGAATAACAATGGCCGCAATGAAAAATAATAATCTTAACAACAATCATAATATAAGTTGCGTTCAAAAATAATACTCGCAATAATAATTAAGGATGACGTAATATCTTAATTAAGCGATTACTGGCCAATTCAGGGACCCACACGCGGCTTTCGGGACAGGTATATATTCTATTGTGATACCCCTTACTCGCTACGGAATCAACCCGATAAATCGATAATGATTTTAATAATAATAAATAAATAAATTACTCAAGCCAGGAGACAGCGGTGTACGGTTAACGAAATGGCTCAACTTGTGAGTACTCACCAGAAAGAGGAAACTCGAACAAAGGTGCCAGATCCACACTCTTACACTCTGCAGGCTACCGCGTGTCTTCCACACACTAAGCGGGCTCCCGCGTGTCTAGTTAATTTTTGTCACCGTAAATCGTACGAGGCCTCGTGTTCGACCACGAGGGCCTCTTTAGCCATTTTCCCAAATTTAATAGACCCTTTGCTCGCGATCGATATTATAGGATTTCACCCGTGCGAGTAAAGGCTACGATAATAACCAGGTACTATAACTATGATTTACGGCGATACATACAATAATAATAATGATAATAATGAATTACAAATAATTCATTAAAAATATCTGAAACAAATGTAAAATTAATTCTTAAATTACTAATAATCATAATATACAACCTTTCAAATATAATAATAATAAAGAATATGCAATATATAGATTCACATAAAAATATTAAAATTATGGGACACTGAGTGTGGATCTGTTGCCAACACTAGGCGCAGGGAGGGACGCACACAGGAATAAAATTCGTGTGACACCATAAAAAACAATACGTTTTAAAAGTACATTTTGATATAAACTTTTTTGTTATGATAATGATTATTTGTATTTAATGATTTTCCAGTCTACCGTTGCGATTGCAAGGAAGGATAATGAATTAAATTCGGCAGATTATTATATGGAACAGGAGATAGCAACAGGTTCTGGGAATACTCGAGAAACAGGAATAAGAGAAGTAACAGAAGGAACAGAAGAAACAGAAGAAACAGAAGGAACAGAAGTATTAGAAGAAACAGAAGAAGTAAGTTTAGAGAAAATATATTTAATTGTTAATTTTTGTTATCTATTGCATAACTTCAATTTGCTCAAAAAAATTTTTAAATTACTTGTTTAAAAAATTTTTAAATTCATTCAATAACTAATAACTTTCAAAAAGCATAAAAGTTTAGTAAATTTGACGTTAATGAAAAACGTTAGTGAACACTTTTAAATATTTTAAATATTTTCCGAAGTTTTTATGACCTATTTGCAACCTCGTCATTTTACTAATTTTTTACTTTCTCATGTATCCTCTTGTTTTTCCTTCACAAAGAAGTTTATGAACTAATTTTCTACTATGAGTCTCTACATTTTATTCCGTTAGTTTTAAGTATATTGCAATTTGTTGTTGAAACTTATTGTAGTGATCAATAAAAGCGAGCATCATTTTATGGAATGATTTAGATTTACTTAGAATAGAATTAAACGTCAATACCATAGTACTTTTTTGGTAATATTCCTTTTTTTTATGGAAACATTCAAATTTGCATATTATTTTGTTTTCAGGGTACTTCTAAAGATAATAATAGTGAATTACCAGAAATAGCAGAAGAAACAAGGATGGCAGCACCCGGAAATCGTGACAATCGAAGGAATAATGTACGTTTCAAAAAATTATTTTTAATTGTAAACTGGTATTTGTTACGCGTACTATAGCAATTCGATCATTAGAACTATTAACTTCTAGTCTAAAGAAATTTAAAGCTTTTATAAAAACAAAAAACATTTAAAATGCATTGAAAATGAATGAATTAAATACTTATTTTAAATCTCAGTTTAAAACTTTGAATACTTTGAATAATTTTTTTTTTTAATTATCAAAAATTTCACAGTAAAATTTTCAGTTTTGTCTAAAAACCAAGATTTTGAGGTATTAATATACAATCAAGTCTTTATAACTTATTTTCTTTTAAAAGCAAAACGATTGAGTAATACATTGTCCATAAATTTATCACTTTATAGAATAATTTAATTTTATTCGCATTCAAATAAAATTACTTTGAAAAATTTTTTAACAATAATACCATCAAGAATTAATGTTTGTTGAATAGGATAAAATTAGTAAACCCAAAATGCATGAGTTATAAACACTTATTTCACTTCATTAATGCTCAAATTTCAGAAAACCCCATTTTTGTTATGATTATCCTAATTATTTTTACTAATGATAATCTTTCTATTCATGAAAAGGATAGCGACAGTGAATCGGATGATTTTGATAATAACAAGGAAAATCCTTCTATTTCTAAAAAAAGTCGTTCAGTTTCAAGAACGTTCCAGACACCTCGACCAAGGACGAAACAATTTATTCAGAGACCTTTTTCTCGTGTGCAACAACTAAAGAGATTGCAAAAAAAAAATAAAAATAAAAATAATAATTCACTACAGTCTCCTCGACGAAAGTGTCGGTCAAATCCGAGAATTCCGACTTTTACTGAAATAATTACGGTGGAAAATAACGTTGAAGTAAGTGTTTAATGTAATTAATGCATGACTGAAAAATTGAAGAGGAAGAAAAATTTTCCAGGCTTTATTGTGAATTTTTAAGATTGTGTCTTAGTCAGAAAAAACCCTGTTAAGGTAACAAAGAAAATTTGTACAATGCTTAAACTAACCGAAAATTGATCCAAATTTTTTATTAATTTAAAACTCAAAAAATTGAAAATAATCCTTCGTTATTAATCATGAAGCTATGTAAGTTTGAAAAATACATTTAAAGCTCTAGGAGTCTTAGAACTAATAAAATGAAAATATTACATTGTTAAAACTTTCAAAGTTGATAGTTTTTTTTTTTCATGATTTTAAAGTGGAAATTTTCAATAATGACATATTTTCGAACTTTAATCAAGTTTTGATTTTTTTTATTTTTTAAATCAAAGACATTCCAAATGATCGCTTCAAATTCTTTTCACAACACTACATTTAAGAAAGTAAAATAATTATTCTAAGAGTTTACAGAATTTTCTTTAAAGAAAACCGACCTAACAAAGAATGTGTCGATGGTTTAAAATAATATTTTCCAAATAAAAATCTTAGAATTTTTCGATATATCGTCTAAATTGATAAATAAATGTCTTGTATTGATAATTTTTATTTTTATTGATAATATATTTTGAAAATTATGTTTTTCAATTCTTCAAAATGTACAAAATAATTTCATCTCTAAGTCATAGGGCATTCAATAAGTAAATTTTAAATTAAAATCTTAAAAACTGATAAAAAGTAGATTTTTAAAACTTGGGTGAAATTAATAACTTTCTGATTTTTCGAAAATTATTTATTTTCATAACGAAAATTAAAAAATTTATAATGTACTCAACTTAAATCGTTACTATTGTTACGTCCCCACCTGCATTCGCAGATGTCTCTATAGCAAATACGCGCGCTAATTTAAAACTCTAATAATATCATAAATATTCTTATTTTATAAAGAATAATGTAAAATGATAAGTAAAGAATTCCAAATGTTAAATATTAAATACTAAAATATTAGAAATAGAAAATGATAAGAAAAGTGAAACTCAGCCAACACCTGAGTAAACAGAATAATCTTAAGTTCACATTAACATTTTCTCTCGAAGAATGTTAATGGAAAAACTAGAATGATTCATTGTAAGACAACTAGCGTTGAGTACACGAGGTATATTCGAGAACATTCGAGGAATGTTCTAAATAAACAAACGATAACGAACGCTTGCGTGTCCTGGACTCTGGAGTTGAGTCAGCGTGTGTCATCCGAGTGGGCCTCGGAAACGCCACGCACATCAACTCGAGAGAACAGGACATTCGGGGCCCGATACGCAACCCTACTCCTCCTAGGGCGCGGCCCTTGGACGAGGACATATAAACAGGGTGCACGGGTAGTTCGAGGCTCTTCTTAATCTTAAAGTTACGCACTTAAGACTCTTCATAATTTATACTTGTCATGAGACTATTAATTCCGGTTACGAAATACCATTACACGGAAAAAAAAATATTGTTACTGGAGCCATCTATTAGATACCTACTCGTAGAAAGTTACTGTAGCATTATGCATTCCTACAGCAGCAATACGGTATGGCTACTGGAGCGATCTGTTAGATAGCTAGAATCGCCAACTACATTTCTCTTACAACGCCCTCTTACCGGACAAAACATATTTATCCGGACCACATAAAAGTGACACACGTGTTTTTTTTGTGCCAATGATCACTTATAAAAAAATGACTTAAATATTTGTTTTAATTAAATATGGATTCGTGGGTAGGAAAAATTTTACAAAAATGGAATCTTACTGATTACAAAAATCAATTTATTAATAAGTATTTATTTGTCATAAAATATGAACAACCAACCCCAAGCCTCATGATGATAAAATCAAAACATTTCATTCTTCTAATCTTTTGTTAATTTTTATTTAAAAATTGTATGGATAAATAAAAAAAAAAAAATAAGTAATTAAGAATTAAAAAAAATTCGTAGTGAAAATTTTTAGAAGCATTTTTTACTATCATTGATTTGTTATAAAATTAAAAAAAAAAAAAATTGACAGTTGTCAACTAACTTTAGTATCACATTTTTGATAATATTTATTTATTTTTCATGTACCATTTAAAAAAAAAAATATACAAATTAAATGTTTCTACACACATTCATGTATTTTAAATATTTCGACTGTTTTTTGCAATTTCAGAAGGGGTTTTAAATAATTTGTTGGTTCTATAAATTTGCTCCACCACATTTTTCATTAAATTATTCGGATTTGATTTTCTCATTGCACTAATTATTTTCAAATTTATTTAAAAAGTACCCAAACTATTAATATCTCTATCGGAAAAAACAAAAAATTAATAAGCCAAAGTTTTTAGTAGATTTCATAGAAATCTAACTATTGCAATGGTCCTCATGACGAAACTTTTGAAAAATTTTGCTATATTCCGACTTAACTCGACGAGCTGAGTCAGAAAATACATATGGTTCAAAAGTTTATATATGTATGTATATGTATATATATAACGCGGCTTGTCACCACGATAGCGTCGCCAATTTACAATGGATCTTTACCAAACTCAACATACTTATTCTACAGATAGATACCGAGGTCAAGTTCGAAGAACTGCTATTGCACAAAACGAGTGCAATAGCAAATTTCATAATTGGCATAGCGGAATAGGACATAATTTTGGGACTACACATATGATATGGTACTCAAATTGAAGCTTATTTAAAGAGCTTCCAGATGCAATTTACAAAAATTCGATAAATTATCCAATTCAAAAGTTATTCAAGTACGAAAATGAAGAAATGTAAATTTTTATGATTTTGAAAATTTT